TATATATATATATATATATATATATATATATATAACTGATTTGTGTTAAATTTTGATTGTAGCGGCGACAATGAGGTCAAAGAATTACATGAAGATATTGTTTCTGATATTCAATTAACATTAGATGAGAACAATGTTTTGGTTAGATCATTTCGAATGGCTAGACATGAAATACAGAAAAATCCCAGAGTCGACGTCAAAATGAAATTAATTGGGAAACGCACTCAGGATGCCAAAACATATAATCTACCGACAGTGTCAGAGGTTGCTGCTATTGTTGTTGGTGATTTAGATCCAATGTTGGGTGAAAGAGATATATTAATAGAAACAAAATCAGGTGTGCTTAAGAGAATTACTGAACTTAATCCAGCATACCTCCCACTTCAGTATCCAATTTTGTTCCCGTATGGTGAAGATGGTTATAGAGAGGATATCCCTTTCAATGTTGAAAGACATATTGATAAAGGAGCACGACATAGTGTTTCTCTCCGCGAATATCTTTCATTTCGTATTCATGAGCGGCTGAATGAAATTTCAACATTTTTATTTGCTAAAAGATTATTTCAACAATTTTTAGTTGATGGCTACACTATGGTTGAATCTGCTCGACTACTTTACATTCGTACACATCAAAAAAGTCTACGATGTGGATCATATAAAGGGCTTTTTGATGCTTTGACGCGTGGAGAAGTTCAGCCCAGGACTCATGGCAGGCGTATTGTATTGCCTTCTAGCTTCACAGGTGGTGCTCGATATATGGTTCAGAATTACCAAGATGCTATGGCAATATGTGGTTGGATTGGTTATCCAAATTTATTTATCACCTTTACATGTAATCCAAAATGGCCAGAAATACAACGACTGTTGGAAGGGCGGAACTTGAGACCTGAAGATCGTCCTGATGTATTATGTCGTGTATTTAAAATGAAATTGGATACTCTGGTTAGGGAGATAAGTAGTGGTTTTATTTTTGGAAAAATTATAGCTGGTATGTGTAATTCTTCTTGATTTATTAATTATAGATTATTGGCAAAATTTCTCTATATGTTGATATTCATTGTTTTGTTGCAGTGATTTATACTATCGAGTTCCAGAAGCGAGGATTACCACATGCACACATCTTTCTCTTCCTTGAGCGTACTGATTCACAACAATTTGCAGCCAATGTTGATTCTTTGATAACTGCAGAGATCCCCCAAAAAAACACTGACCCTGAATATTTTAAGGCTGTTAGTGATTTCATGATTCATGGGCCATGTGGCGTGGCAAACAAGAAATCACCTTGTATGGTCAACGGTCGTTGCTCAAAACATTTTCCCAAGAAATTCTCTAAGGCCACTAATCTTGACTTCAATGGGTATCCTGTTTACAAGCGTAGTGATAATGGGAATACAGTTGTCAAAAGCGGTATTGAATTGGATAATAGATACGTGGTGCCGCACAATAGATATTTGTTAATGAAGTATAGAGCACACATTAATGTTGAGTGGTGTAACCAGTCTCGCTCTATTAAGTATTTGTTCAAATATGTGAATAAGGATAATGATCGAGTTACTGCCCAATTTTATAAGAGTACTGAAACTGAAGATAGTAGTGAGGTAATAGATGAGATTAGTATGTATTATGATTGTAGATACATCTTTCCTTGTGAAGCTGTGTGGCGTCTTTTTAGTTATGACATCCAATTCCGAAATCCAGCCGTTGAACGATTGAGCTTTCATTTGCCGAATGAACAAAACATTGTTTTCGACGATGATGTTTCTGTGGAATCGGTGCTTGAACGCCAGACAGTTAGGCACGGCATGTTCCTCGCGTGGTTTGAAGCAAATAAACGGTATCCGTGTGCTTGTGAGTTAACATACAAGCAGATGCCTAATAGCTTTGTGTGGAAAAAAAGCATTCGTGAGTGGCAACCAAGGCGTCGAGGATTTGCAATAGGTCGCATGTTCTATGTGCCGCCAGGTACTGGTGAAATTTACTATCTAAGGTGTTTGTTAAATTTAGTTCGTGGACCAACATCTTTTCAAGATATTCGCACGGTAGATGGTGTTGAGTACTCTTGCTTTCGAGATGCATGTTATGCTCGGGGATTGATTTCTGATGAGATGGAGTATGTTGATGCAATACTTGAAGCTAGCCATTGGGCAACTGCTGCTACTATTCGTAGACTGTTTGTTACTCTACTTACTTCTAACTCAATTTGTCAGCCGGAAAAAGTTTGGGAAATTGTTTGGGCAGAACTTTGTGACGACGCAGAATACAATCAACGTACACTGTTGAATGATCCAGGTACAGTTCTACTGTCTTTATTAAACTACTTAGACTCAATATACCAGTTATGAAGTGTTTTCAACGGGATCTAACTGTACTTACAGTTTATTTAAAATGGTGATGATGTGCAGCGTTTGTGTTTCCTGAATGTGAGAAGAAAAGATATGGGCTTACTGAATTGGAAAAATTGTTATCATTGTGGGGTAAGAGCTTGCAAGACTTTCCGTGT